TGGCATCGGTTACAGAAGAATTTCTAAACTTCATTTCTGGACATTTGTGGTTTGATTTCTTTGTATGTATGGATCACTTGGGTTGTTACCGACATCTGGTGAAAATTTCATGTCATTAGCACCTCTAGTAATATATTTACTGAGAAAAATGTTGACGTGTTTAATACTTATTTTACCCGCTGTATCTTATTAAAGCCCTCATTGGATCAGCCTTACTAAAGACCTAAGGTCAGCAGAGATTGTCTTTTTAAAACAAATTTAAGACAGGCCTTTTTTTTTGTTTGTTTGGCTTTTTGGTTGTTTAAACTTCTTACACTCTCTAAAATACCAGTTGTATTTCCTTTAGTTTTCTGATAAACAAACCTGTTCATGCCTGTATGATCCATCACTGATATGGACTTCATTTACGGTATGTCATAGTTCCAGTTTTGTCAGCACAATGGAGAAAAAAACTTTAGTCACGTCCTCAATATGATGCCAACTCACGTTCCTTAGACTGGAGTTTAGTGCTTCTGGACACAGTGATCCTGCAGTGTAAACAGGAAGTGCAGAGATAGTGATTCTTTGTGCTGTGCCCTCAGGTCGTTCACCCTCTCATGACTCGAAGCACCTTGACCCAAACAGATCAAATACAAGAGGAGGACATGGTGTGTAATGTTACCACAAAGAGATGGCTTTTACAGATTCAGTTTTTTTCAGTCATTTTTTTAATCAATATATAATTTTTCCAATTTTATTTGATAAAATCCTTAAAATGTTGAGGTCAAGAAAATGTTATTGCCATTAGGTTTACGTTATTTTTTTTATCTGCTTTTCTTCTGAAATTCTGTTTATCTCACTGCCTTCAGCACCCTCATAACTGCGATCTTGGACCATTTCAGAGAAAAGACTGGATTAGATTCTGTACAAAACACACCCACTACAACATATAAGAACATATTCTGGCCTCAGCTGACTCCTGGATTATGTTTTCTGTGCGCATACGCCTGCATTACAGCACAAAACCAGAGCCCTCCTCATCCTAGTTCAGATTCATCAAAGCTGAAGCAGCTGTTTATGCTAAACACAGCACAGACACATGAGTGTTTTCCATGGTGGTGGTCCAGGCTGTCTTCGCACTGGGCAGAGTGTTTGTCTGAAACTCTAACACAAGTCTCGTGGTCTGCCGGTGACTGACGTCAACAGGGTGAAACCGGGCCTGACAGTAATGGCTCTGCAGCCTCTGGGACCGCCAGAACCGGACGCTGACTGCCAGTGGATCCAGCTGACCGTATTCTGTCTCAGCTCTGCCAGCTGGGCTCTGAAAAGACCCACAGAGCTGGGAGGAAGGAGGAAAAGAACCATCACCAGTAAAACAAACCTGTTTTCTCCACATCCACTTGAAAGAATAACAAATGTCTTCCT